TAGGTGGGAGTGGGGAATGGCTGCACCTCCGTTCACCAAGCGGGTTTGGGGTATAAGAGTAACAAGAGGAATGTGGTACCTGTTCAGTCTTGCAGGTCCAGAGGGTTCTTGGGGTTGCTGGAAAGCAGAACGTGTTCTTAAGCTCCAGGAATCTGCCAGAGCACTGTTTCTTTAAATATCCAAAATAGTCAAGCTGCTTTCTAACATTCCAAATGGTGGCACCCTCTGGACTGTAAAAAGTCCATAGCTCAGCCTGCCTTTCTCTTCACCTTCTCTGTTTATTCCTCAGCCACCAGAGTAGTCCTCTGTGCAGTCCCTGGCTAGCAGGGCTGATTTTTAGGTTAATTCTTAAGTCCTGCCAGCACTTGGGAATCTGCAAGCTGTCTGTGCTGTCAGTATTGCTCAAGATTGCTGCCAGACTGCAGCTCCATATGTCTCTGTTTTTGGTATTTTCATGCAAATTCTTCTGCTAGTTGGGTTTTAGTCCACTTCTGTATCCTTCCCTTCAAGGTTCAGGGGTCCAGGATTATCTTCTGTGTCTGTGTTTATTGGTTTCCCTTTTCTTTGTTGAAGAGGGTCTGTGCAGTCTTTCTGCCTAGTCTGCCATCTTGCCGGAACTCCCTTTAACAACATTTTCTACTTCATTTTTTTTTTGTTTGCTTCCTTTTTTACTTTTTCCCCACTCCCTTTCCTTTCTATCCACATTATTGTTTTTCTAATTGCCCTGCTACGTTGGGAGTGGCTCAGGAGCAGGATCTAACTCTATTAGTAGTACCTACTGCCAAGAAAGTTATTTCAGATTAAGGGTTATGCTGTGGCTAAGGCATTTGGCTGCTGACCAGAAGATTGACAGTTTGAACCCACTAGCTGCTCCATGGGAGAAAGACAAGGCAGTCTGCTTCTGTAAAGATTTACAGACTTGGAAACCCCATGGGGTCGCTATGAGTCAGAATCACCTTGATGGTAGTGGGTATAGTTTAAAAAAAAAAAAAAAAAAGCAGGAAAAGGAGCCCTTGTTGTGTAATGTTTAAGCACTTGACTGCTAACCAAAAATTTGGAGGCTCATACCCACTTAGCAGCTCCACAGGAAAGAGCTGGTAATCTGCTTCAATACAGATTACAGCCCTGAAAACCCTATAGGGCAGTTCTGCTCTGTCACATGGGGTTGCTGTGAGTCAAAAATTGACTCAAGAGCACCTACAGTAACCAAACAAAACCAAACTCATTGCCGTAAAAGTTGATTCTGACTCATAATAGCCCCTTTTGGGTTCCCGAGGCGGTAAATCTTTACAGAAGTAGATTGCCCAGTCTTCCTTCTGGGGAGTGATTGGTGGGTTTGAACTGCCAGCCTCCAGGTTAGCAGTCAGATGCCTTAGGCACTACACTACCAGAGCTCCTTAACACAGTAACAAGATAGTATAAAAACAGAAATACTATTAGATGAGCAAGTTTGTTTTAAATTAAAAAATATCCTATGAGCATTATTTTACACACACACACTTTTTAAGTGTGATGCTGAGATTTGTCTTTCCCATCTATTTATTGTCTTGAAAAATGTTTACCAGGAGAGATTGTAAAACAAGTTAGGCATTCTTGTAGTCTAGTGGACTACAAAGATCAACTCTACTTGGCCATTTTGTGGTCCTGGTGTGAGCCAGAGCATTTTGGTATAGTTTTTACCTGGCTTTCTATCTAAAAGGTAGAAATATTTTGATGTTACTACTGTTTGTCATAGCTACCAGGTCAACATTTAGAAATAATCATCACAGTTCTCTCTTTTCTAGTGTCTAAGTTATTTCATTTGTTCCCCTAGGTTTGATGTTTATGAAATAGTAGTAATACTTTTTTTTTTTTTTTTAGAATCTCAAAATGTGGATTTTATTTGTAGTGTTCTTGTGGTGGCTGATCAGTTTCTCATAACTCGATTGAAAGAGATTTGTGAAGTAGCATTAACTGAAAAACGTGAGTATTATTAAATTACAATATTGGTAGATTTTTAGCTTGGTCTAGGGTTACTGTATTTTACTGACTTTAAGATGTTATTTATGGTAAAACATACCATTATTTTTTTGTACTCAGAATATGTCAAAATATTCAAACTATCACATGGCATCATTTGTTCACTGTTTTTAGCAGTGAATTTATAAGTACATTTTATTTCAGAGATGTTACTACCAAAAATATGTGCATCTTCGAATTGAAATAGGTTGTTAATATTTATTGAAATATCACAAAACCTTGAGTGATAAAGACACTCTCAAATTTATTTGGGAACTTGAAGGTGGAGAGTTTAAAAGCAGAAATATATCTATATAACCCTAGTTTCAGCTACCCCTTTCTAACTGCTTACTGGAATTTTCATAAAGCTATTCCATTAAGATACCTGAACCAAACACCTTTTTTTCCTCTCAAAATATATTTCTGCTTTGTTCATTAGTATGACTATCCTCTTGAACACTCAACTTTGGAACTCAAAGTTTTGTTTTCTTTGTAATTTGGTTCTTTATGCCCAAATTCATTTAATTGTCGAAACTAATTCATTCTCAACTACATTGGTCATGTTTTCCCCATCTTTTGATTTTCAACTCTATAGGAATGTTTTTAAAATCGTATTTGAGGTTGTTATTAGTAGTCTTTAAATGTTCTTTTCCCTTCCTCTATTCCTCTTTAAAGGACCCCTGGTAATACTGTGGTTAAAATGCCCTTGGCTCTGTAGTCTTATTTATTCACTTTTCTTGAGCTCTTTGGACTATATTCTTTTTACTTGTCAAAAATAAGGGCACTGATCTCCTTTTAAGCAAGAAAAGGGAAATATTTTAAAATAAAGGAGATCACAAACAATAGGAATAAAAGATATATATAGGTGGTATTTTCAGTTCAATTGAATTTCCTGGATGCCCTTGGATATTGTATTTTGTCCCCTGCTGCACAGTTGCTTTTACTTAATAGAATGCTTAATCTCTAGAACCTAGCAAGAGAAGGACTCAACAGAAGTTCCACTTTGAGTTTTGCACAATGTACATGTAGATCCTTCTTCCTAACTGAACAACTCTAAAATTCTTTTCCTGTTATACAATTTTATCATTTCTGTGAGATGTGAGACCTTGGATTCACTGTTAGCTGAATCTTTAGGTTATTCAGGAGTTGGTCAGAAGTTCATTATTAACTATACTTGCAGCCTTGGACAGAGTTATGAGGTAGAAAGAAAAGAGAATGGAGCCATCTGGGTACAGAAAACAGTAGTGCTCATCTTTCGGCTATACGAAAGGGCATGGGGGCAGTGTCCTCTGATCTCCTCTAACTTCACCAGAGGGAAAGAAAATCTCCATCAGCAGCATCAGCCCAAGGCTGATTCCTATGAGATCAGACATGTTACTAACCTCTAGTCTTTTTAGCAATTCTGACACCAACCATCCCTCCCAAATCATACTCTACTTCTCTGCTGGGTTAAATAATTTGTTGCAGTGGCCACGCAGAACTCACAGACAACTCTCATTATTATGATGTAAAGGGAAGTAATAGATTACATTTCAGGTTCAGGAACATTCAGGATATGATTCTTCTATCAGGACAGCCTCGTCCCTCCCATGCCAACAAGCACACCTTTGGTCCTTGGCCTCTCATCCTGGCCTCTGTGCTGCTCGGACAAGTGTTAGAAAGCTCTTTTAGCTCTGGTGAGGGGTGCTCCCAGGTGGACCCCACTCCAGCAGCAAGCCTTCTGCCCAAAGGCACTCAGCTTTCTTGCTCTGTGGTTTGGCAAGCCCACTCTTCTGTCTCATGCCAATCTCTCAGTTTGCTGCCTCTGCTGCTGCCTCTCTTTGCTGTCTCTCAGCTGGGTTTCTCAGACAGTCTGTCTGCCAAGGAGGTCCATTGCAAGTGTCTTGAGTGCAAGGATGCACTCCACTCCACCTCTAGCTGTTCTCTCTTGTTGGCAATGAGATTGTCCCTTCTGTCTCTAGGAGGGCTCACTTTAAGCCTAGTGGAATGACAAAACTGACTAATCCCAACAGTAGGGTTTCATATACCTTATTTCCATGGCCCCACCTACACAAGGGTGCCATGTACCTTACATACATTACTAAAAGCTTTCCAATCCCCTTGTTGGGCCACAAGCACCTTATGTTTACGTAGTTCATCCAGTAATCTGGTGTGAGTCACATAGACCATGGCTAGAAGAGCCATTCCAAGTAATTCACTGTGCCACCGGCTAGAATTCTGAGTAAGTAAGAAAATGATTAGAGAAGGCCAAAGTTACATGCTAGCTGGGAGAGTGTCTGGCAAAAAGGAACACTTTATATGTAAGATTATCTACTAGGACTGGAACTGAACCCAGAATCTTCTGCCAAGGATGCCCACTTCTTCACTGACATGAATAATTTTATGGTATAATTTAGATGGACTTATTTTTTAAAATGTGCAGTGTATTTATGTTTATATACATAAATACAGCCTCAAATTCTGATAGCATACTCTAGTATTAATCTTGTAGAATTATTTCATCAGTTTCTCTTAATTTTAGGAGTTGTTTTTAGTTTTATAGAAGAGAGAATAATTATTCTGTGGTACATCAATAAAAAGGAAAGTTATTCATCAATGAAAGTTTCAAATACTCAGAAAATGTTAAGTGGAAGAGTGTCAGTTCTTGTTTGTTTTAAGTGACACTGTAATGCCCTTGCTTGCTGTATTGCCTTTTTTTTTTCCTTAGAATTTTTGTGTGTATGTACATACTTTATTTTTTTTTATACCAGCCATTTAAAATCACTTTGGCATATTGTGATAGAAAATGAGTCCTGTCTTTGCCCCAGTACAAGTTACTTTTGTTAAGAAACTACTTTTAGTTTTCTAAACCTGAAAACCTTAGAAATAAGTATATTTCATTGACTATAGTAACATGCTTTTCATTTCATTTTTACAAATCTCTTCTTCCTTTTTAGTTACCCTTAAAAATGCTGCTATGCTGCTTGAATTTGCAGCAATGTATAATGCTGAACAATTGAAACTGTCTTGTTTACAGTTTATAGGACTGAATATGGCAGCTTTACTTGAAGCAAGGTAAGTTAAGTTCATGTATTATATAACTTACAAAAGCATATATTTATATGTAATACATATATGTTAGTAATTTAAAAAGTGAATAGTGATAAATTCTAGCTATGTAGAAAATGAAGAAAGTAAAGGATTCAATCATTTCACAAATATTTGAGTGCCTACTATATGCCAGACACTGTTCCCAGTGCTAGGAGCTCTGATGGTTTAGTGTTTAAGGCATTTGGCTGCAAACCAAAGGTTGCTAGTTTAAACCCACGAGCCATTCCATGGAAGAAAGATGAGGCAGTGTGCTTCCATAAGGATTTACAGCCTTGGAAACCCAGTGGGGGTCTCTATGAGTCAGAATTAACTCGATGGCAGTGAGTTTAATTTTGGTTTGGTTCCCAGTCCTAGGATACAACATTGGACAAAACTAACAAAATTCTTGTTTTCAGTGGATCTTAATTGGTAGTCAAAATATTATGGATCAGTATTATGACAAGTGTGGTTTTTATATGAATGCATAATATTGTTTAGGCTAATATGTAGCTACGTAATTGTTGCCTTGATTTTTGGAAGCTATGTGTAATACTAATTAAACTAGTACTTAACTACTTTTCATTTAAGCATGTAGAAAATTTGTTACTGGTTGATCGTTTTATTCTTTGTATTTATTCTCTGTAAGGCATTTTTTATAGTATACATTGATTCTTTGATCAGACTTAGGCTTCAAATGGATGGCCTGAAAAATTTAATTTCTTCAGTTTGTACCAAGCTAATGTATGTGTTGAGACCTTGGCTTAGAAATCAATTTGTTATAAAATGTTCCTTATTTTAAAAATGACATATTTTAGATAAAAATCAGCTAAGTACGCATGTCTTGTTTCATTAGTTAATATTCCACATTACCTTGATGTTCATCAGGATGCAAAGAATTTGATAAAGGCTGATGATTTAGGAGGAGCTCTGGTGAAACAATGGTTGAACACTTAGCTGCTAATAAAAGGTTGACAATTTGAACCGAACAACCACTCCACGTGAGAAAGACATGGCAGTCTGCTTCCATAAGGATTACAGCCTTGGAAACCCTATATAGCAGTCCTACTCTGTCCTATAGTGTCACTATATGAGTCAGAATTGTCTTGAAGGCAGTGAGTTTTTTTAAAAAATAATTGGGGAGTCATAGACTTTTTAGAATTAGAAGGAACTTGGAAATTGAGTCCTATGGTTTTCATACGTTTTTAGCAGTGAAATTTTTTATGAAATAAATTTTAAAACATCTATATTTTAATGTAAGGACAGAATTCTATTAATTCAGTTATTGTAAAGCTACTAGGAAGAAAATGAGGCTGTAAACACAGAAATTGAGTTCTTAGTTGGAATCCACTCAACAGCAGTGGGTTTTTGGGTTTTAGAGTAACAGTACCAGTCAATACCTCACCATCCAGATTTTTTTCCTGTATTTTGTTTTAATAGCAGTAAGAATCACTAATATTTAGTGCATACTGTGTGCCCGGCAATATTCTAATTCAGTTAATCCTTATATATAAACTTTGATTTAAATTTTTATTGATTCTTAAAGTACCTCTTTGGAATCTGAGAGTTCTTGAAATGTACCTTGAAAACAGCCAGTCTAGTCCAAATGTCTTTTCACATGTGGAGGTATTATGGCTTATAGAGATGGCCTCAGGGCCTCAGGCAGTCAGCTGCCACACCCAAGGCTGGCGGTTCAAACCCACCAGCCGCTCCCTGCCAGGTAGCTGGGCCTCTCTTTTAGGAGCTCTGGTAGCGTAGTGCCTAAGGCACTTGACTGCTAACTAGAAGGCTGGTGGTTCAAACCCACCAGCCACTTCTTGGAAGGAAGATGGGGCAATCTACTTCTGTAGTGATACTGCCTCGGAAACTCAAGGAGGGGTCACTATGAGTCAGGTCTGACTCGACGGCACATAACAACAACAACATAGAGATAAAGTGAGTTGCTCACAGTTGCATATGTAGGTAATTGATATCAATGCTAATCCTAGATAGAATTCAGGTATCCTCATATTTAGGCCATTGTTCTATCAATACAATATTTGGGTTTTTTTGTTAATTATTATAATTTGTGGAAAATGAAGGTCAGAAAATGAATACTTCAGTATTTTGTTCCAAAAGAAAAGATTCTTTCTTTACGTACACATTGTTGTTGTTGTTATTTGCCATCAAGGCGGACCCAACTCAGCGACCCCTCCTTGGGTTTCCGAGGCAGTATCACTATGGAATTAGATTGCCCAACCTTCCTTCCGAGGAGTGGCTGGTGGGTTTGAACTGCCAGCCTTCTGGTTAGCAGTCAGAGCTGCTTAAGTTTATTCAAAACAGTTGTCTTAATTTGTTTGCTGTTTGTTTGAAATAGGTAATATATAACCACACCTACTTTCAAAAAGAATTTATAGCAACTGGTATATACAGTGCTTCAAAAATAACTTTGTTACTTATTAGGAAATATGAACTATTTTTAAATACTTGGAAATCCTGAAACAAATTAAGTCACTGAGTCTTAAGATAAAATTTTCTATCCTATTTTTTAGGTCTCTTGATGTTTTAAGTGATGATGTTTTGAAGGATCTTTCTGTGTATTACCGAAAAATGGTAGGTTTATATATACATACATACATACATATATATATATAAATACACACAGGCATATCTATCTATCTATCTATACTTTTTAAAAAAAAAAAATTATTGTGATTTGGGTGAAAGTTTACAGAGCAAATTCATCTTCCATATAGAAATTCACATAGACTTTGCCTCATGACATTGACAGTAATCTCCCAGAATGCAACAGCTCTCCTCCCACTTCCTCCCCACAGCCACCTCTTCCCTGTGTCCTTCCCGCTTATGCACTCCTGGCCCCCGAGCCATCTCCCAGTGCATACACACAGCCTTTCTATTCTCCCATGATTGATCTCTTCAAGGAGTGTATCTACCTAATGTAAATGTTCAGCTCATATGCCTGTCTTTCGTTTGGCTAGAGCTACAGGAGTGGGTTCAATTCCAGACCTGAAGGGCAGCGAGGGGCCATAGTCTGAGAAGTTCCACCAGGTCTATCAGATCAGCAAACCTGGTCTTTTTTTTTTTTGTTGTTATGATTTTGAGTTTTTGTTCTATTTGTTCTCTCATTCTATTCAGGGTCTCCTACATAGATCCCTTCTGACTAGTTGACAGTGGTAGCCAGGCACCATCTAGTTCTTCTAGTCTCATAGTCTTATAGGATTGCATGGTATACCAGTCTAATTGTGTCCATGTATCTTTAGTTTTCTTCCTTCTTTTTTGTTCTGGATGAGGAAGGACTCATTGTTACATCTAGATGTCTGCTTACTAGCTTTTAAGATCCCAGTTGCTACTCACCAAAGTAGAATGTGGAACAATGTTTTTGTGTGGTACATTATGCCGGTTGAACTTGATGTCTCTGTGAACATGGCCCCGAGCCCACAGGTCCAACTACTCACTCCTGGGTAGCTGGCTGTGGCCAATAAGTGATTATAACCTTGTTCCTCGTCAGCTCTACTGTATATACCTAGAAGTTCTTACAGAACATACAAATATAGTTGTAGAAACATTGTCTGCCAACCCTATACATGTTCATGGGCACACTTCCCCTGGCATGGACATACCTAATCATTCAGCCTGTCCACCCTCTATCCACCTGTGTATTAATGTTTGCCATCACTGACAATTCAATGCAGTATTGTATGTACAAAAGGGTTCATCTTTGTTGTCTATACCTCCCATGCATCTCTTTTTGTCTTCCTCTTCCTCAGTGCCACTGTGTTGATCATTCACATTTAGTACATTGCCCTTCTGTTCACCCAAATCAATACTTGTCTCTACCTGCCTAGCAGTGTTCCCTCCCCTCCCTGCCACCACTGGTAACCAACAAAGAAAATTTCCTTCCATGTATAAACCTTTCCTTGATTTTTTACAGTAATGGACTAATATAATATTTGTCCTTCTGTGATTGACTTATTTTACTAAGCATAATTTTCTCTAAGTTCATCCATGTTATGCGATGTTTTGCTGATTTTACGTTATTCTTTAGGGTTGCATACTATTCCATTGTATGTATGTACTATGGTTTGGTTATCCATTCTGCTGTCAATGGGCACCCAGGTTGTTTCCATCTTTGTGCTATTGTAAATAGTGCTGTGATGGGTGTGCATATATATCTGTGCTTGTCCTGGCTCTCACTTCTTAGGATATATACCTAGTAATGGAATGCTTGGGTCAAATGGTATTTCTGATTCCAACTTTTTAAGGAATTGCCATATTGCTTTCCACAGTGGTTCTATCTTTTCCCAGTTGTACCAGCAGTGTATGAGAATCAAAATCTCTCCACATCCTTATCAGCATTTGTTATTTTCTGTCTTGTTGAACTTTGCTGCTAGTGCTGGAGCAAGATGGTATCTCATCATTTTGATTTGCATCTCTCTAATGGGTAATGATAGTGAGCATTTCTTCATGTGTTTGTTGATTGCCTGAGTATCCTGTTTGCTGAAGTGTCTGTTCATGTCTTCTGCCTATTTTTTAATTGGATTATTTGTCTTCGTGCTGTTGAGGTGTTAAGAGTTTTCTGTAAGTTTTAGAGATAAGTCCCTTGTCACATATGTTGTTGCCAAATATATTTTTCCAAATCTGTAAGTTCTCTTTTTCCTCTTTGGAGAAGTCTTTGGAAAGAGCTCTGGTGGCATAGTGCCTAAGGCATTTGACTGCTAACCAGAAGGATGACGGTTCAGACCTACCAGCCACTCCTCAGAAGGAAGGTTGGGCAATCTACTTCCATTGTGATACTGCTTTGGAAACACAAGGAGTGGTCGCTATGAGTCGAATCCAGATTGATGGCAGGGAGTTTGGTTTTGGTTTTTGGTTTGGAAGCAAATAAAATTTTAATTTTTAGAAGGTCCCATTTATCTAATTTATCTTCTGCTGTTGGTGCATTTGGGGTTATGCTTGATTGTCTATTTATATCATATATCAGGGCCCATAAATTTACCTCTAGTTTTTACTTGAGGAACTTTATAGTTTTAGGTTTCACATTTAAGTCTTTGATCCATCTGGAGTTAGTTTTTGTGTATGGGATGAGGTACTGATTTCCAGTGTTGCCAGCACCATTTGTTAGACAATCTCTTCCCCATTTAATGGATTTCAGCCCTTTGTTAAAGATCAGCTGGCCATAGGTTGATGGGTCTATTTCTGGAGTCTCAATTCTATTCCATTGGTTTATGTGTCTGTCATTGTACCGGTACCAGGCAATTTTGACTACTGTGGCTGTGTAGTAGATTTTGAGATCCAGCAGTGTGAGACCTCCTATTTGTTCCTCTTTAATAGTGCTTTGCTTATCCAAGGTCTCTTTCCTTTCCCTCCAAAGTTAGTGATTGGTTTTTCTATATCCTTAAAGAATGTTGATGGGATCTGCATTGGGATTGCATTGAATATATAGATTGCTCTGGGTAGAGTTGACATTTTCACAATGTTCTATCTTCCTATTCATGAGCATGGTATGTTCTTGCATTTATGTAGATCTCTTATGGTTTCTTGAAGAAGTTTTTTGTACTTTTTTTTTTGTACAGGTCTTTTGTGTCCCTGGTAAGATTTATTCCCAAGTATTTTATTTTTTTGGTAGCTATTTGCCAAAGGGGTGGGGAGGTGCCATCTTCTGACCTCCTCTAACCCCACAAGAGGAAGACAGAATCACCATTAGTAGCCCAAGGCCTATTCCTGTGAGACCAAATACTCTGCTTCCCTCCAGACCTTTCACCAACCCTTTCAACTGTTCCTCCCACAGCACCCACCACTTCCCTGCTGCGTTCAGTAATTCGCTGCAGTGGCCACAGAGAACGCACAGATTATGGGGTTTCTTAGGAGAGCAACAGGCTACAATTCAAGTTCAGGAAAACGCTCAGTCTCTCTCAGCCTGCAGTTTCTCAGTTAACAGTCTCTCTCCCAGCAGTGTTTGTCTCTCAGTGTTTCTCGGCAGTGCATGTCTCTCGCATCTCTCTCTCAGCAGTGTGTGTCTTTCACATCTCTCAGGAGTGTGTTTGTCTTAGCAGCACGTCTTTCTCAGCTGACAATCAGAGAGACCCCTTCTGCCTCTAGGAGAGCTCCTTTTGAGCCTAGCCGAGTGGCCAAACTAACCAATCTGAACAGCAGAATTCTATATACCTGAGAGAGAGAGAACTTCCCAGAAAATTACTGTGTGCTGCTTCCAATAGAAATAGCCCAAGCGGATAACTTTAACAATCAGAAGCTACTCAATTACTCATGGCAAATTTCACCACAGAGTTTACAAAGATTTATAGCTGCAAAAGCCACACAATGTGATTTACTACATCACACTATTGTAATAGTAATGATTTCCTTGTTTCTTTTTCAACAATCTCTTTACCTATGTAGAGGAATCCAGCTGATTTTTGGATGTTGATCTTGCATCCTGCCACTATGCTAAATCTCTGTTAGGTTCAGTAGTTTTTTGACTGAGTCTCTTGGGTTTTCTATATATAGGATCATATCACCAGCAAGGGCGCTCTTGTAGCGTAGTGCCTAAGGCACTTGACTTGTAACCTGAAAGCTGGCGGTTCAAACCTACCAGCCATTCCTTGGAAAAAGGTTGGGCAATCTACTTCTGTAGTGATGTTGTTGTTAGGTGCCGTTGAGTTGTTTCTGACTCATTGTGACCCCATGCACAGCAGAATAAAACACTGCCCGATCCTACACCAGCTCCATGATCCTTGCTATACTTAAGCCCATAGTCTCAGCCACTGTATCAGTCCATCTCGTTGAAGGCCTTCCCCTCCTTCGTTGACCCTCTACCTTACCAAGCATGACATCCTTCTCCAGGGAATGGTCCCTTCTGACAACATGACCAAAGTAGGTGAGATGAAGTCTGGCCATACTTGCTTCCAAGGAGTATTTTGTGTACACTTCCCCCAGGACAGATCTGTGAGTTCTTTTAGCAGTCTATGGTACTTTCAGCATTCTTCTCCAGCACTACAATTCAAAAGCATCAACTCTTCTTTGGTCTTCCTTATTCATTGTCCAGCTCTCACATGCATACGAGGCAATTGGAAATATCATAGCTTGTGTCAGGTGCATCTCAGTCCTCAAGGAGACATCCTTGCTCCTCAGCACTTGAAAGATTTCCTTCACAGCCAACCTGCCCAGTGCTACACATTGTCTAATGTCCTGACTGCTGCTTCCATTGGCGTCAATTGTAGTATCAAGCAACGTGAATTCTTTGTCAACCTCAATCTTTTCTCCATTTATCGTGATGCTGCTTATTGGTCCAGTTGTGAGGATTTTTGTTTTCTTTATATTGACATGTAATCTATACTGCAGACTGTGTTCCTCAGTCTTCATCAGTAAGTGCCTCAAGTCATACTCATTTTCAGCAAGCAAAGTTGTATCATCAGGGTATCTCAGGTTGTCAATGATTCTTCCTCCAATCCTGATGCCACATTTTTCTTCATACAGTCAAGGTTCTCTGATTATTTGCTCAGCATATAGATTTAATACATGTGGGGAAAGGATACTACCCTGACACACTCCCTTCTTGATTTTAAACCATGTAGTGTCCCCTTGTCCGTTTGAAT